TTTTTTTTTTTTTGGTTTTTCTCCGGTACCGGGAACCGAACTCACGACCTTGCGCTTGCAAGGCAGGCGCTTTGCCGCTGAGCTAAATCCCCAGCCCCTGCACTCCTTTTGTGCTTAGCTTTTAAGACAGTATCTTTCGAAATATTCGGCTTATAATTTAATGCAAAGTTTCCAAAAATGTTACAAACTTATTTAGGTAATTTGTATTCCCTCACTATGATGTGAACTGCTACATAACAAATATCTTAAAATCAGTGGTTTGAAACAATGACCTTAATTATCTCATAGTCTCTGAAAGTCAGGATTCCAGATGTGACTTAGCTGAGTTCTGTGCTTTCAAATTCCTCTGATAGTTGGGACACCTCATCTAATGGCCAAAACAAGAGAAAATATTTCTGAGGTTTGCCAGGTGAAAAACCAGTGTAGTAAATCCACCAAACACACGTGTAATATTTACTTGATTAAATTGTCTCAAACTTTTACTTTTTGTTTTTATTTTTATTATGATTTAGAGTGAAGAACAGCTGCTATAGCATTCAGAAGAGCACTCTAAATATTTCCTAGTGCCAGTGCAGAAGAAGCAGAACCATGGACTAAATTCTAGTGTTAGGAATGTAATTTAGTGCAAGTGTCTTGAGTATATTGTTGAGAATTTTCAAGAAGACCATCTTTGAAATACAGTATTTACACTAGCTACCAACATCCCTGATATTATAAAAAGTGAATCTCATTTTTAATAATTGCTTAAGTGACAAAGGCTGGTCTTAATTAGACAAGAAAAGCTCTATAAGATTTCTATTTGATGATGTAGAAGTAGCAGTATTAAAAGTCTTACTTGATTTGTATGGTTGATATTGTTCTATTTTCCATAGAGCTGAAATAAATCTATTTCTCTCCTTTTTTGTCTTTCTGGCTACTTTTTGGAAATAGACTAAGATGCTTAGTGAAGCAGCTGGAAAAAGGTGATGTCAATGTCGTCGACTTAAAGAAGAATATTGAGTATGCAGCGTCAGTGTTGGAAGCCGTCTATATCGATGAAACAAGGTAAATCTTAACCTCCTCTCCTTTTTACCTTCCTTGCTCTTCTCCCCTCCTTGTTTCTCTTTCTTAACCTTCTTTTATCTCAAAGAGAAATTCAGCATAGCTTAGCATGATTCCAGAATCAAAATTGCATTAAAATTTGAAAGGTTCTTTTTCATGTACCTAATTAACTGCGCTCTGATTCTTTTTTAAAAATATACATTTTAAATCCAAATTTCTGGATATAATAAAATAGTCAAACAGTAAAAGTTATAATATGGAAAGTAATTAAAGTGTCCTCTCCAGCACCTTCACTGTCTTTAGGCCCAGACTGTAGGCTTGTACTGATTTTCACTCATGAAAGAATTTTCCCTAGTATCTGGAATTTCAGTGTTCCTACTGAGAAAGAGGGTGTTACCTGCTCGCCCATTCTCAGGAGATGTATTAGTCACAGCCTCTGAGGAGGGCTTGCTGAGAAAGCCCCAAGAGTATTGTCACCCAAATTTAGCCTGTAATTACTAGTGTAGAGAGTGGCCATGGGGAAAGAAAGACATGAAGAAGGTTTTATGCTGATTGTTGGGGCTCTCAGCAGGTCTACTTGCCCTGTAGAGGACATTTGGCAAACCCAAGAGCTCTGGCCAAGTGTCTTTTGGTGTTCAGAGAATATTGAAATTGGCTTTTTAATTTTCATCTCAGAAAAGACAAAGGTGACAGAGTAATGAGAGCTACCTCTGAATCTGGAGCCAAGAGGGAACCTGTAGAAGAGGTGTTCACTTCTCAAGTTTGTCTCAGAAAAAACTGAGTTTTTCCAGAGCTGTAATGAAGATGAAACAGAGGCCTCTGGAAGGACCACAGAGTACAGACATCAGATAGTGAAAAGAAAGGGGGATGTTAGGGTGATTATTGGTATAAGAACCAGGGTAGGAAGTCCCATTTAACCCAGCTATTCCCCTTCTGGGTATTTTCCCAGAAGAATTAAAGACATCATACCAAGGCGATATACATGCACCCATGTTTATAGCAGTACAATTTGTTATAGCTAAATCTTGGAAACAACTCAGGTGCCCATCCACTGAGGAATGGATAAAAAAGATCTGGTATTTCTATACCATGGAGTATTACTCATCTATTAAAAAAGATAATCTCGAGGCTTTTGTAGGTTAATGGATGCAACTAGAAACCATACTCATAAGTGAAATAAATTGGACCCAGATGGGTAAACATCATATTGTCTCCCTGGTGTAGGAACCTGAAAGACTAGGTAAAACTCAAAATGTACAATAGATGACAGGAAAGGGAAAGAAATTGCTCAAAGGAAGGAATGACTGGGATGAGGGAAAGAAGAAAAAAGAAAGAAGGAACGCAAAATATAAAAATATATGTGAATAGCTGCAATAACTGTATTGCTGATGTCTGATGGTGTATTGAAATTAACAGTTAATGATTACAATTTTTTATGATCTGATCAACTTTGCATGCTTGTGTCTGGTGGTCTGAACAACTGATTTGAAGGTAACAATATGCAATGGAATTACAATGGTGAACTCCTACCATCTTGTCTAGTGAAACTCTGTACTATCTCTACTGTTTTAGCAAAGAATTATTTTCTTATTCTCTTTAATGGTTTGAGCAATCTTTCGTTCTTACATCTGGTAATCTGAGCAATGTAGTTGAGGATAGCGATATGTAATGTAACAACCACTGTTGATTCGTATTATTTTGTCTTGAGACTCTGTATCACTTTGAACGTTCTTGCTTTGATTTGTTGATGTTTGTGATACTGATATGCTGCTACTGTTCTATCCCTTTGTTTGTTTGTTTCTCATGTACTACTCTCTTTAAAATTAAAAAAAAAAAAAAAAAGAACCAGGGTAGGAATTGTAAAGCATAAGCCAAATATAAGCGGGCACTTGTGATCCTGGTACCTTCCCACCAGGTAAGTACGAGAGGGGTACATAGTGGAGTACTGTGGCCACCGTACAGTCATATCCCTCCGCGTGTAAGTCCCTGACTGGTCCACCACGTTTCTGAACAGCCGGAAGCGGCTGAGGAAGCCGGGTACCTGGACAGTGAACACCCCTCCCATGCCCCTTCCCCTCTATGGGCGTCGGTGCCTGGGTCAGGCCCGGGCTTGGGAGTGGTGGAAAATGTTGGACTAGATATGAAATTGAAGTTTCCGTTCATCTTTGTGTATTGGACTGCACACACAAACGCAAATAATGTTTGGAATGTAACAAATTCACATGATTTAAAAATAAAATTAATGAAAAACTTGCCCCATGAAAGTCACTCCTGTGTCTCAGTTTCAGTCTACTCCACTCACTGAAGAAATCTCTCCCATATCTTCCAGGGATAAATTACAAAGTGTTATTTTGTGTTTTTCCCTCCTTTCATGGAAGGTAACAGAGAACGTACATGGTCTTACTTTTTACTGTTTTCACTAAAGGAAGGAACATGGAAAACTGCTTATATCATGTTTTGAACCTTTTTATATCCAACAATGAGGATTTTCACTAGTAATGCACGGAAAAGCTCCAATGAGACTTGTACTGTTCAGGGGTTCTTCCTTGGTCCACAGAACAGAATCCCTCCGCTAAAGCGTAGCTTGAAGTTATAAATCTCGGGGGGAAATCACAAGCATGTTTTTTAGATCATAAATTTTTTCCAGAATTATTTTCATGGTTTATTTCACTAGGTATACATAAATGTATATGATCATTCTAGGAGAATAGAGATGAAGTATGAATTTTGAAAAACTTAATGCTGTGGTTATAATTTTTTTTGTTCATTTACTTTCATGTGAGTGCTATATTGTTTACAAATTGAGCTGAACAAGTTGAAGATTTCTTCAATCTATTCTTGACAGACAATCTATTCTTGACAGTTTTATCTTATATTTATTAATGAAACTTAGGAATTTTACCTTCAAGCATTCTTTGGATATACCTCCTTCATCTTACAATGGCATGATGCCAACTATTAATCTGGTTCGCCTATGTGTCCCATCTTTCATTTGATGATTATGTCTTATTCACTCATTTTTATGTAGCATTTCCTTTCCCTGAAGAGCATGACACCATAGATATTTTGCTATGTTTAACATGTTTAAATGTATGTTACATTTAAAGCATAGTTCGCTGTGATTTGGGAATTGCTCTTCTGTAGGGAAAAAGGTTATGTATGATATTTAACTATTTGGTCATGTTAATTTAAACTTAGGGTGTTTCTTCTGTTGTTTTTGTCTGTTTTGGTTTTTGCTCCTTACAACAAAATGTCCCAGTTCCCAGAAAGAGCTTATTCCCAGGTTTTACTCAAATGACGTAAAAATGGTTCACCTCTTTATTTTAAAACCTCTATGACACTAGCATTTTAAAATTGTGTTTAGAATAATATCTCACATTTATACCACCTTCAAAAGGCTTTTGGTTTTATTATCTCACATTAGTCTCACAGCAATACTGTACAATTGTTGGAGTAATTGTTGCTGTCTGCATTTTACTACTGAAAGAACTAAAATTCATTTAAATAACCTAACAACTTTATGAGATAGAAAAAATCTAGCCATGCATGGTGGCATATGACTGTAATCTCAGCACTGGGGAGGCTGAGGCAGGAGGATCATTGCAAGTTGAAGAGCAGCCTGGGCTACAGAGTGAGTGCAAGGCCAGCCTGAGCTGCATGGCTAGACCCTGTCTCAAAAAGACAAAGAAAAATCTGTTTTTACCAGTTTGTATATGAGGAAGCTGAATCCCAAAAGCTTATGTAAATTACTGTGGAGTAAACTAAACAGTGGGATTAAGGTTCTGGCAATTTGATGCAGAGTTTAGGTGACAAATCTCACCTTCAGCCCTTCTGTAACGTTTAATCCAAAGGCGATTTCAGAGACTTATTGGAAGTTTTGTGGCTATCCATGTGCTATCGGGCTCTTAGATCGGGTAGCTGGCAGCTCTGCTGTGGCTCATGTCTTGCTAGTTCTGCCTCCAGCAATGACACACTGATAGCTGGAAACCGATCATGGCGGGCTATTTACACCAAGGGAAGTGTCAGGTGCTACAAACCAGGATTTGGTTTTCCCTAGCGAGCCCATTGTTAACCATTTCCATCATCCCATGGGTTAAACCCGAGATTATCACTTACAAATTTTCCAAGGGCCGTGATGGTATGATCAAAATATCACCTGAAGAAACTCTAGGACAACAATACTTAATTTGGCTTGATTTTCTAGATATATGTATGAATATATATATATATATATATATATATATATATATATATAACAATGAGAAATGTTTGCAAGTTGACAATATATGATAAAATGGGACTTGCTAATTGGCTGAAAATACATGTTCATGCAACCCCCACACACACACCTCTTGTTACTAAGCATTAGTGACTTCAGGATTTCAGCTACATTTTTTTTTTTTTAAATCTCTCTTCAAAAATTATTTTGGTGAGATAAAAGAGTTTCTGATTAAAACTGAATTCTGACCTTTGTGGGGATTAAAACAAAATTCCCTGGTGAATATGAACCATTTGTTGGTGTTTTTAAAAAGGGTTTTTTATGCAAATGCCAATATTTTGAGTCTTGCTTTCAGATGTGTCCCTAGAGAGTATTATTTTTCAAAGTTGCACAGTTGTAATCCAGAAACATGTGGCCTCAGAACAAAACAAAACAAAAGTTTGTCCTTATTTGGATTGGGACATTGCCAAGCAAAGTAGCGTCCTTGGCCTCATGAATAGCAGGGCAGGCAGCCGACTAGGAGGTGTACTTGCAAGATAGATATTGTGCTAACATCTCATAAAAACATAACATGATTTTATTTTGATTAATGTAAGCCAATCTGTCTTATGATTATCATAGTTAGAGTATAAATACTGGGCTCAGAAAGAGTAGGTTGTTCAATATCTGGTTCCCCTTCTTCATAATCTCTTTAAGAAATTACCTATCATCTGTAAGACCCAGATTTATCTATAAAAACCATCATTTTATAAAGGGTAGTGTAAAGATTACATGTAATATACCA